GTTTTATTGTTCAATTCCTCATTTAATTCTCCAAACAGCCCTATGAATCTTTCACTTTCATTGTCCTTATATTACAGATAAGGAACAAAAGTTAAAACAGATTAGGCAACTGGTCCATGCCCATAGGACTAATAAATATGGGGAGTGGTTTGATTAAAGCTAGTTACTGAGTCTCTGAAGCCCAGGAACTCAACCTCTGTGCTCCTCTTTATCTGTTTATGATGTTAGAATATGTGTGGTCTTTAACTGTGACCCCTGAAATGATTTTTACTTGTAAACTTGTTTCTGTACGAGTTCTATGAAAGGATAAGACCTTAGGGTTGCATTTTTGCTTGTTTTTGTTTTGTTTTGTTTTGTTTTGTTTGGTACCTGGAATCAAACTTGGAACCTTGCATTTGCGAGGCAGGCGGCGGAACCACTGAACTAAATCCCCGGCCCTGCTTGTTTTTGTTTTCCAGGACAAAGCATTGAAGCCACAGAAAGAGATCATCTCAAAAAAACTATCCTGCTTTGAGTGGTTCCTTTTAATCTGCACACCATTCACTCAGAAGCAGAGTAGACATGATTCTCTTTCTGGAGATGATCACTCCTTCAGAATCTGGACTTATTTGGAATTCTATTTTTTAGAATTGACTTCTACCACAGAGAGGGGGGAAATTGCAAGGGTCCTTTAATTAAGGAACTGGGGCTTGAGAAAGATGTTTCGTGTCTGCTCTGCCTCTTTTTGAGAGTGGTTCCTCTCTTGTGTTTGAGCTTCTAGGGGACTGTTAACTCCCACTCCCAAAAATTGGGATCTTGAGCAAAGACAAGCAGGGGCAGAGGAGGTTGGGTCTGTGTCATCTTTGATGGTTTCCTGGACAGCTCAGGATATCTGAGGTTTAGTTTTCCTTTCTGGAAAGTAGGGTTTGTATACCTGTCTGAGTTGTTTGAAGATTCACTAAGATGATGGCTGGGAAGTCTTTGGCAAGAGGTTGGTATAAGTGTATGTTAGTTACCACTCTTCAAGGATTAGTAATCCTGAGAACAGTTCTTCCTCTCCCCCCGACCAAAAAATAAAAGGAAAGTCGAAAGTGGACCTTCTATTGAGCAGACAGGAAAGGCAGAATCAATGGAGATACTTGAAAAGAATATCCAACCATTCAAATGATGAATTAGCAAAAGATCATCAGGTGATTATAAACTGTGGAATGATATACTGCTGCTTTGTTAGAATACGACTGTTAAATTCCATAGAATTTCATTCCTAGAAAAGTTAGTGGTACTATGGAAACCATGCCTCTCGGGGTATGAGGTCGCAGAGCTGGCCAGGAATGTGGAAAGAATGAAAAGACTGATCATTTGTAAAGGAAGCAGCCATCCAAACATCCGTGGTAAATCCCTCTTTTAATGACTAGAGTTATGATGAGGATCCAGAATATTAATACGTATCCCACTATGGTGGTGAGAACTTCAAAAGTGAAACAGTGCTTATTGGATTTGATAACAGAAATATAGAGAATTATAAATGAGATGTCCAGTAGGCATCTGTGTTATGGAAACTTAGGATCAAGACTTGTGTATTCTTGCTGACGAGAGGTTGTGGGTAAAATTAGGGTGCTATAGTTGAAAACAGAAAGGATTCTGCTAGCTGGATGAACACAGTATGGCATGACCGGAGAGTTTTGATCAAGCATGTAACTTTGATCTTTAATAACGGAACTTAAAGAGAATATTAGAATTCATAGGTGCAGCTGTAAACACACTTAAAATGTGACTTCTTGTTATTTTATTTAAAATTTGAAAAATTGCCATTTATTCGTGTTGTAGGGAAAGTAGATTGCTTGGAGGTTTGAATGCATTTCTACATAGATAAGAAGGGACAGTTTAATTCATTCTAGAATTAGATGTGCCAGAATAAAATATGAGAGTAAGAGGAAGCCAGTATGAGGGACACAGGATGAATAAACTTTCTTCTCTCATCTAGGGACTTTGGGCCAACTCCTAGGGCAAAAAAAGATGATGATCATGTACCTGATGGCCCCTCTTTTTTTAAAATTTATATATTTATTGGTACATTTTAGGTATACAATACATTTACATTTATCATTGGGTGTTTGTACCTGAACATGATGTATCTTAGTTCTTATTTTTTCCCCATTACCTATGCATCCTTCACCCCTACCACCCTTCCCTATTTACATAGACTTT